ATAAAAGAATTATCACTCTTCTGTGACCCTTTGTTCTGAGATTGGCTTCACTGTCCTAGGATGACAGAAAGAGGTGGGATGGGGAAATATCGAACTGGGGTTACTCTCCCAAGGAGTCGGAAGAGAGAGAGAGCAGGAAAGAGAGAGACAGACAGACAGAGAGGGGGACAGAGAGGTAATTGGCACTGGTATCTGTGGAATCCACACCTCTACATGATTCAGGATTCCGAAAAAAAGCTGGTCAAAAATGTTTGAAGGTCATCCTGGATAGTTCATTAAGTCAACAATTTGTAATGTGACTAAGCTTTGTAAGCCTCTCTATCATGTTAGCTAATCAGCTGGACTCAAATAAGCTTCAGTACTGCCATGTTGCAAGAAATGGGCCTAGCAGACTTTGTTTGTTCTTCTCATCTCAGTCACTTCTACTGTTAAGTGCCTCACCCCAACCCCCTGACAAGGATAAAGCTTCCTAGGTTTTGATGCTCACCCAGCTGAATAGCTTGTTTATAATCAGAGCTGCAAAAACACGTGGAACCATGCTTGCAGCACAAGTGAAGAAAAGACAGGAGTGAACTCTCTTCGGTTTCTCTAGATGTCCAAGACACATAATGGAGAATCTCAACTATCAGACCGATAACATTGGAGCAGCTCGTAAACATGGCAAATTGATCTTCATTACTGCAAGGACCCAGCAGGAGAGGAGAAAATTATTTGGGAGTTTGTAAACTAAACTTGGAGCTCATGTCCTACCTTCCTAAAAAGAAAGACCTGCATTTATATAGCGTTTTTCACAACCTCAGGATGCCCCCATGTGTTTCACAACTAATTAGCTCCATTCAAAGTGTAGTCACCATTGTAAAGTAGGAAAAGCAACAAAAAATTTGTGCACTGCAATCACCCACAAACAAAGATGCTGATCAAATAATTTATATCGTTTTACTGTACAGCGTGAAGGACAAATATCAACAGAAAACCAGACAGTACTCAACTGTTCTTCTTTGAAGTAGTGGCATGGTATCATGAGATGGCAGAAAGGGCTCTGGATTACCTAGTTCTGAAAAGATGGCACCTCCAACAGTGTAGTTGGTGCTCCCCTGATGCTGCACTGGGATGGTGGACCTAGATTTTGTGCTTATGGCTCTGAACTGGGACAAGCCTTTCAGTGATTAAAGCACTATCCATCTTTCTAAATCTATTTATAAGCTCATCGAACTTTCCAAAAATTATAGCAGTCTCCCTATTTTTGTTTCTATCAAAAGTCCCTTCAGATCAACAGTTCACTTCAGACTCATCAGACACCTCATCTGATGAAGGCACTTTGACACAGCCTGAGATTCATCGGGTTACAAGCTCCCATCATACTGTAAAACAAGTCAAGCAAGAAGACAGCCCTCAAAAGCCCAGTCACAGTTACTCCTTCTTTAGAGGTGAGACCTTTTAGACTTTGATCTTTTCCCACTGTATTCACAGCAGCCCAACTCTTACTATCAAATGGAATATAGTATCGTTTCTGCTCATTGACCATCTCTCATTAACAAGTACAGCATCTTATGAGCACAAGTTATTTGGTTTGTTCAAACTAATGCAAAAAACAGTGACTTCTAGCGACCCCTTAGGAGTCAATGTCACAGTTTACCTGGGAAATCAAAACAAAAATCACAGAAACAATCCTCGACACTAGCACTATTATCATAATTACAAAAACTGACCTTCTTTGATTTTGGGCAAGGCCATTGAGGAGGGACTGGCCTGAAGGATTCATACAAATAATTGCAGAGAGAGGCCTCACAACTGGGATCCTGAAGGTTGGAGACTTTGGAACTCTTTGCCTCAGGTGGTGGTGGAGACAGGGTCATTAAATATTTTTAAGACAGCGATGGATAGGTTTTTGTTAGGCAGGGGAGCCAGGGGTTATCAAGGGTAGATGAGAATGTGGAATCTGAAACACAAACAGATCAACCATGATCTTATTGAATAGTGAAGCAGGCTTGAAAGGCTAAATGGTTTACTTCAGCTCCTATTTTGCATGTTTGTGCCTGTATGTATGTTTCTAAGGTAGGCTCTTGAGGAAGCAGTAATGATTGCCTCTCCCTGTCATATGTACAATCATTTACAATGCCAGCTAGCTTGTAGATCCAGGGATTCATTGGGAATGGGATGAAGAGACCAGATGCCAGTCTTGCTGTTTAGGTGAAATTGCAGAGGGCAGGGGTGATGAAATTAAGGTCAAATAGGGGTTCATAGTTAGGGAAAGATTTGGCCTGAGGTTTAAAAAAAAGAGGAAAAGCAGCAGAGACAACTGACTGCTTTGGTCCCATCATGACAACAAAGCTTTTGAAATTTGTGAGGATCCACTAGAGAATTTAAGGAGATAGCTGGTAACTGAAAAAAGGAACTTTTAAAAAAATTTATTCATGAGGTGAGGGCAGTTTCCTTCCCCAAAGAACATTAGTGAACCAGATGGGCTTTTTCCCAAACAATTGGCAATGGATTCACAGTCATCGTTAGGGTTAAACTCCAGATTTTTTTTTATTGAATTCAAATTCCACCATCTGTCATGGTAGCCTTCGAACATGGGTCCCCAGAACAATTATCTGGGTCTCTGCATTAACAATCCAATGATAATACCATGAGGCTATCCCCAGGTAATAACATTTAATTATGTTTGTCATGCCATCTTGTACCTCTACCTGAGCAGGCAGACAATGCCTCAGTTTAAAGCCTCATTCAAGGAGCACCTTCAAAGTGTAATACTCCCTTCTTGCTCCACTGGAGAGTTGGCTTTGATTATGTGCTCAAGTCTCTGGATTGATGTTCAAAATGCTTCTGACTCAGAATCAAGTATCCTATCTCAAAACCAAAGCTTACACAACTGAACGGAGGGAAAAATAGATAAAAGACATAGAAGAAGGATCCCAACACACAAGTTTCACACTACTAGGGTTATGGAAAGCAAAAGTGAGCCCCAATTCCTATTTGTGCTTTCAACAACCACTATCAAAACCTGTGGGTATCCGGATATCTTGAGATAAGGATTAGATCACCAGTTCACTGCCTTGCTCATGAGTGAGGTGGAAACTTGGAGGCCTGGAACTTCCTCCCTAACAACAAATGGGCAGCACCAGTTCAAGAAAGCAGCACACCACCACCCGCTCAAGGGCAATTAAGCATAGGCAATAAATCCAAGCCCAGCCAGAGACACCTACATCCTTCAAACAAATTTTAAAAGGGTAGAAAAGTGGCACTGAGAAACTGTACCTCAGAAAGAGACTGGAGAGGAGAAGAAAGAGAAGCATACTAGTAAGGTAAAATTCCCATCACTCTTAATATTCACTGCTGGTCACCAATATTGAGGGAAAATGCAGATAAAATATGCAGTGATTCACCTGCCTGGAGACATCTACAACACAAAAGCAATTATGTTCTACCTAACAGGGCTAGGAGATTTGGAAGATCGCAGACCCAAACCATGCCCCTCGGACACTGCCTCAGATGAGATAATGAGGACCAAGACTCCAATTTATCGCACAATTGCTGGGCGCAGCAAGCACGAACGGTTATTGCAAGAGGAAGAGTCCCTGTCCAAACAGCATCAGAGCCAAAGCATTCCTTCTTACAAAGGTATAGTCACTGTACAGTGCCAATTATTGTAAATCCTTCTCTTCTGTTTCAACTGTGGGTCAGTGCTCAATAGCACTTTTGTTTCTGAATCAAGGTTGAGTGTTCAAGCCACTCTGGACACTTAAGCTGACAGCCTGGTGCACTGCAGAGGTTGTGCAAGATGAATGTAAATTCATGTCTTTTTCTTTCTAAAGCCATATCTAAGTGACTGACATCTTGGAGTGCCATATTTTGTTTTCTGTGGTTTAGAGAATACAACAAATTGAACAGTTTGATTCAGTTGGTAGTATTGACTCAGCGTCAGAAACCTCCAACATTTGAGCAAATTATCTGGATTGATGTTCTGTTGTAGGATTGGGTGCAATACCATTGTTAGATGTAACGGGAAAGAGGAGAGGGGTTAAAGAAAGTGGCTGGTAATTGGAAAGAGGAGGCTTGAGCTATCTTTCCTCTCCAGGACAGTCCTGCTGTTAAAACTTGGCACAAGGATTTCAAGGATAATTTCCAACCTCACTGGAAGGTTTATTACTTTTGACATTCACAACAAACGTGCATATTTTATAGTGAATAAAGTATTTTTCTAATAAACGCAATCATTGTTTTGAAAGATGTAGTCAGTTTGTGCACAATAAGCTCAAACAAGAAGTCAAGACTGACGGGAAAACCTCTTTTTTTGTAAGGTTGTTTGGACAAATATTGGCCAGAACAATGAGGAGGGCACCCTTGTACGTCTTCAAACTAGTGCCGTGGAGTCTTTCACATTCACCACAGACAGCAGTTAGCTGTCAACACAGTGGCTCAGTGGTTAGCACTGCTGCCTCTCAGCACTAGGGACCCGGGTTCAGGTGACCCACCCTCAGGCGACTGTCTGTGTGGAGTTTGCATGTTCTCCCTCTGTCTGCGTAGCTTCCCGCCAGGTGCTCCGGTTTCTTTCCACAGTCCAAACATGTGCAGGTTAGATGGATTGGCCATGCTAAAGTGCCCATATTGTGTGGGGATGAGTAGGTTAGGTGGATTAGCCTTGGGAAATGCAGGGTTACAGGGATAGGGTGGATCTGGGTGCGATGCTCTTTGGAGGTTTGGCGTGGACTCAAATGGCCTGCTCCCACTGTAGGAGTTTGGTGTGTTCTATCATTTCTGCGCTAAGTCTCTGGAGTGGGCTTCTGGCTCAGAGATGGAGGTGCTACACCTCGGCCATAGCTAACACAGTGTACAAGCAAACAGTGTACTGATTCTGTTGGTCAGACTGTAGCCATAACCTACACCCAAAGACCAATGCCTCAATGTTAACTGGCACCAGTGAGGTGGTGGTGAAGAGAGGTAAAAACTAAAACCCATTTCTTCTGTTTTTTTCTTTCTCTCAGGAAAGCAGACACTGGTGCAAGTGCTTCAACAGTTTGGGGCTCAGCTCCCCTCACGAAGCTCATACAGTGCGCCCCAAGGGTCACACTCTTTTAATCCAATAGCAGAACTTTCTTGCAATCAATATGAAAGGGAAACCAGAGATGATGTCATGTCCAAGAAGAGAAGTCAGTTTTGCAAAGGTACATTTACGAGTTTTAATGAAGTACAAGACACTCCTCCAACTTGAGACAGAATTTCCAGCCAGCATTAGTCCAGTACACACCCATAACAAATCAGTCCCATTCAGTTATCACCCACTGTGCTTGCTGACCTATTCTGATGTCCGATCTAGGAAAAACTCAACTTTAAAATTCTCATCTTTATATTCAAATCTTTCCATGGCCTTTCCCCTCCTATCTCTGTAACTTTCTCATCCCTACAACCTCCTGAGGTTTCTGTATTCTTTAGTTCTGTCCCCTTGCGCATAGCCGATTTTCAGCAAAAACAAAATACAGCAGATGCTAGAGAAACTCAGCAAGTCTGGCAACACCTGTGGAGACAGAAATGGAGTTAATGTTTCAGTCCAATGACTCTTCCTCGGAACAGCTTGTTCACATTGCAATGTTTGATTGTGCCCTATGCTTCTGTAGTTAACTCTGTAAATGTCTCCACTCCTTTAAGATGCTGCTTAAAACTTTTCACTTTGTCCAAGCTTTTGCTCACCTGCTTGATACCTCTGTACGTGGCTCTGTCATATTTTCCAACTATACTGTAAAGTTTATGATATTTCAGTTTAGATGGCATTATATAAATGCAAGTTGTTGCTGTGCTGTTTTAACGCAAGCGTGAAAGTTTTTTGCAGAGAATCAAGCATCCATTACAAGTCCAGCACTAACTGGAAAGTCTACCTTTTATTGTATATCTGCTGCACATGTGGGACAGGACAAAGCAGCCCCAATTTGGCCATTAATGGGCTTATACCAGAAAAACTGCCAGGTCTAACTGGTTCACAAATGTCTTTTAGGGAAATAACCTGCAACCTGTACCTAGTCTGGCTTTCACCTGATTCCAGTCCAAACTGCATGATTGATTTTTAATGGGTAGTAAATGTGGCCTCATCAGAATCACCTACATCCAGAATACAATAGAAAGGAAAAAGCTCAATTTCTGAGATAACAATGTGTAGAGCTGGATGAACACAGAAGGCCAAGCAGCATCAGAGGAGCAGGAAGGCTGACTTTTCGGGCCTAGACCCTTCTTCAGAAATGGAGGAGGGGAAGGGGTTTCTGAAATAAATAGGGAGAGAGGGGGAGGCGGATAGAAGATGGATAGAGGAGAAGATAGGTGGAGAGGAGACAGACAGGTCAAAGAGGCGGGGATGGAGCCAGTAAAGGTGAGTGTAGGTGCGATGTTAGGGAGGAGATAGGTCAGTCCAGGGAGGACGGACAGGTCAAGGGGGCGGGATGAAGTTAGTAGGTAGGAGATGGGGGTGGGGCTTGAGGTGGGACGAGGGGATAGGTGGGAGGAAGGACAGGTTAGGGAGGCGGGGATGAGCTGGGCTGGTTTTGGGATGCGGTAGGGGGAGGGGAGATTTTGAAGCTTGTGAAGTCCACATTGATACCATTGGACTGCAGGGTTCCCAAGCAGAATATGAGTTGCTGTTCCTGCAACCTTCGGGTGGCATCATTGTGGCACTGCAGGAGGCCCAGGATGGACATGTCATTTGAGGAATGGGAGGGGGAGTTGAAATGGTTCGCGACTGGGAGGTGCAGTTGTTTAGTGTGAACTGAGCATAGGTGTTCTGCAAAGCGGTCCTCAAGCCTCCGCTTGGTTTCCCCGATGTAGAGGAGGCCACAACGGGAACAGCGGATGCAGCATACCACATTAGCAGATGTGCAGGTGAATATCTGCTTGATGTGGAAAGTCTTCTTGGGGCCTGGGATGGGGGTGAGGGGGTAGGTGTAGGGGCAGGTGTAGCACTTCCTGCGGTTGCAGAGAAAAGTGCCGAGTGTGGCGGGGCTGGAGGGGAGTGTGGAGCGGACAAGGGAGTCACGGAGAGAGTGGTCCCTCCGGAAAGCAGATAAGGGTGGGGAGTGAAAAATGTCTTTGGTGGTGGGGTCGGATTGCAGATGGTGGAAGTGTTGGAGGATGATGCGTTGGATCCGGAGGTTGGTGGGGTGGTATGTGAGGACGAGGGGGATTCTGTTTTGGTTGTTATTGCGGGAAATGTGGGAGACACGGTCGAGGGCGATAGGGTTGATCTGTGCTGAGCTAACTCATTAACATAACCCAAAAGGCTAAAGAGTATTAGTCTTTGTGTCAGTGGGGCTGGAGTGAAATGTGAAGGAGTAGTGCAGCAATTGTACAGAACCTTGAGCAGACCCTCTCCACAGTATTGGGTTCAGTTTTGAGCATTGCCTCTCAGAAAGGACTTGTTGGCTTCAGAGATAGTATAGGCCAGACTCACCAGAACAATACTGGGACTTAAAAGAGTAACGAGGACAGTTCCGTAAGCTTGAATCGTATTCACTTGAGTTTAGAATGTTGAGGGGCGCTCTAATTGAATCTTATGAAATGATGAATGTTTCAAGAGGTTGGATACAAATAAATAATTCCTCTGGTGGGGGAGATCAAAAACAAAGTGGCATAATCTTAAAATGAAAATCAGGTTGTTCATGGGTGACATCAGCAGCTACTTTGTCACACAAAAAGAGCCAGGAATTCTGGGATTCTCTCCAGAGAGTCTGTGGCTTTTGAGAGTCAATTTAAAATTTCAAGAATGAGAGCAATAGACTGAATGGCTTCCTTCTGTTCCTGTGGTTCTCAGCTAGACATCAGATCAAGTAAAAGTATTGGGGTTAGACAGTGGACTTAATGATGATCTTTGCACTCACTGAAGTTTAAATACGAACTCCTTTAAACTAGCCAAGTCCTGGAACTAATTCTTCAAGTTCAGAAGGTGCCAAGTGTCTTTTATGCTTCATGCTGCTTTAACTGATCTCAGTCACGCGCAGCCGTGGCGATACAACTGAGCTCAGCCCCAGTGGGCTGACACAGATATGGCAACTCCTATTCAACAGCCAACGACTCCTGCCAGAAGTGAGCATATTCAGATGTGTGCCAATACTGTGGCCACAATTTAAATGCATGAGGGAACAGTAAGGGAGCCTGCTACCCAGCCTTAGAGACACAACCTTGCATAGTTGAAACTAATGGTTTGTTACAGTAGGAACTTATGATGAACGCTGAACACTGAATTCCTTCAATTGAGAGGTCATCCTGCTTTTGGTTTGGCAGAGATCATCCGGTACAAGAACTACACACCTGTTAACATCAGAAACTGAACTCATCTTCGATCATGTTTGTGGTGGAGGGAGACAGGGGAGGTCAGAGAGGAACTTTCCAGTTTGTTTTTCCCAAATGGGCCTGGGCTTTACCATCTTCAGAGGATTACATTCTGGTGTGGGGAGTGTCTGCATTGGGCATCACAACCGCATGAAACAGGTCTTTTCCTTTCTGTCATTTTTGTATGCATGTTCATAACCATCTGTTTAAAATGAAAGCATTACCATCAGTGTTGATACGTCTTAAGTAATAAATAACTGTGTTTGAATGTCCAGGATCAAACATAGGGAACGGCTAGAAAAAGTTCCCAGCACACTGAAACCCTTATCCCATCATGAGGCAGAGTCTGTAGGAATGTTTAACTGTATTTTCCATTCTGTTTCTCAACACTTCAGGTGTGAACAGCTGCACAGGAGGCTTGCACTCTACCAAAAAGAACACAGCTGAAGTCAAGGTCCAAGAAGAATGCTTTAAAAAGGCCGAGCTAGCTGCAATATGCATTCTTCGCAATGTTTATTTTGCAGCCAAGGAGATGATCCCCAATTCCTCAACAGAAGCTCTGAATGAGCTGTGCATACTTCAAGGTCTCACGGACCTGGGAGGACTTCACTCGGACAAGCTCGACTCCTACGATAATTCAATTGAGGAATTCCAGCAGGCCATTGCTGAAGTGACGGATGAAGGAATCCTGAAGAAGGCACGGTCCAGTAACTGTTTCAGTATCCTAATTGACGAGTCTGAAGACTGTTTCATGGAGCCGTACCTGTTTATGTACCTCCAAATCATTGAACATGTTGCAGGAGGGTATGAGCCAAAAACTTACTTCCTGGCGGTCAAAAAACTACAGGAAGAGGTCACAGCCAAAAAGATCACAGCGGAATTAGTCAACGTGCTGAAAGAAAAAGATCTAGACATGAAACAGATGTGTGGATTTGCAATTGATGGCACTGCTTTGACAGATGAATGCAAGAACAGTGTGGTCACTCAGTTAAAGGCACAGGTTCCTGGTCTCTTATCCATCCACTGTATTTCTCATCGATTAGCTCTCAGCATTGTGTCTGCTGCAGACACTGTCCCTTACCTAGTGAAGTACCAACAAACTCTCAACTCTGTTTATAAACACTGTGTCGGGGTGCCCAGGGACGGGCTTGAGGCCATGCAAAAAGTACTGAGAGACACATACAAACAGAGCAGCCCTTTCAAGGATATCTTGCCATCCAGGTGGCTTATAGTCAGAGCATCAGTTGAAGCTGTAATACGCAACTTTGGCAAACTTGTCTCAGTGCTCCAGAACAGTCAGTCAGCCACAGGTGTCGGGCTAGCAAAGACCATGTGTACCTACAAATTCTTGCACTGTAGTCATTTTTTGGCTGACATTCTCCATCAGTTGTACATTCTGTGTAAGAGTTACCAGACCTCCAATGTTGACTTTTCAATTGTGCATCCCCTGTTGAAATCAACGGTCACCACGATTAATAAGTTGAGTGCTGAAAGCACTGGTGAGATGCTTAAGAACCTTTTGGCTGCACTGCCGGCCAATATGTGGGATGAGAGCCTCTCTGAAAGCTCATTTATGTTTCAGAATCACCGGATAAAAGCAGGCCGCCAGCAGAGGTCAGAGGCTGAAAGTACCTGCAGAACTTTCCTTGAAAATCTCACGCGTGACCTTAAGGCCAGGTTCTCAGAATCCAAGGATGCAGCCACCATGACAGCAATGACTGCCATATTCGATCCTGCACATGCCTCTGACTCAAAGAATAGGCACATCCAAACTGTGACCGATTACCTGTCTTCGCTTTCTGATGACAGTGACAAAGATGAGTTTGAAATGAGCTGCAAACAGGAGCTTGTCAGCTTCATGAACTTTGTAGAGTCTCAGCCTGGTGTTCACGCACTCACTAGCTCCAAGGATGTATGTGAACTTGCACTGAAGCAGAAACTGATGTTTCCTGTTGTCAGTTCGCTGGCAGAACGGTACTTGGTTTTGCCGATTTCAACTGCAGATCTTGTGGGGACATTCTGTAGACAACACATGTTGAGGACCAAACTTGGGAACTCACTGACCACCAAGTCACTGGAGAACCTGATCAAGATCTCCATCCATGGTCCTCCTATCAAGGAGTTCAACTTTATAGCTGCTTATTCCAAGTGGGCATCCAGCAGGGCTAACAGGGCACAGCAGCAAAAGAGTTAGAGGTTTACAGATTGTAACTTGTGCTGATTCTTTCTTTTCCCTTTTGAACAAAAAAATTGTTTGTTATTAGCAAGAAAGAAAAAGGAACCTATCTGCAGGCAAAACTTTGGAATCCTAAAACATAATACAGTTTCGCCTCAGAGTTTTGCTGTAGGCACAATGTACAGAAATTCAGGGCAAAGAAAACATCTAATTTGTTCAAACACTCTCCTTTCTAGAAGTTGTTAATATTGATAATGAATTGCATAGACTTCCCCTCTTTTTTATTCATTTACAGGATGAGGGTGTTGCTGGCTAGGCAATATTTATTGCCCATCCCTAATTGCCCAGGGGGCAGTTAAGAGTCAACCATATTGGCTGTGGGGCTGGAGTCGCATGTAGGCTAGACCAGGTAAGGATGGCAGTTTCCTTCCCTGAAGGACATCAGTGATGTAGATAGTTTTTTACGATAATCAACAATGGTTTCATGATCATCATTAGATGGTCTTATGAAGTCTGCCAAGGCGGGATTTGAACATGGTCCCCAGAACATTATCTAGGTCTCTGGATTAATAGTCCAGTGATAATATCACTAGGACACTGCTTCCCCCCAACATTGATAAATGCTGTCACCTTTCAACCTTCAAGCCGGTTCCTGGGACAGTAACAGACTGATCAATAATTTAAAGAAAAAGAAAGCTTGCAACTATAAGCGCACCTTTTCGGATTGCTCAGAAACCTCTCAAAATATCTCAAACAATCTGCTTCCTAGTGCAATACGTGCTCTAGTTGTGTATGCAACTATTTGGCTTTGGCATTGATCAAGTTGAAAAGCTGGACTGATAAATAGATGAATAATTCAATGCCAATAATTTTTTTTAAAAGTTTGCAGTTTCAATTTATTTAATGTCTTTTTTTGTTAATCCACCTTGCAACATAGAAAGATTTCCTCCCTTTTTCAGGTGTGATACAGGAGGAGGCAGAGAGGTGATGAATATATTGAAGAAAAAGGCTTGCATGTGATGCCTAACGCACTGCAGTTGGCAGAACTACCTACATTTCATGATTATCTATTGCACCTGCCAGTTGTGCTGTAGTTGCAAGCAGAGAGACAAAATGGCCCTAACAGTGCTGTGCCAATGCAGAATTGCACGAGCTTTTTTTTAAAAAATTCATTCATGAGGTGGCTAGGCAATATTTATCACCCATCCCTAATTGCCCAGAGGGCAGTTACGAGTCAACTACATTGCTGTGGGTCTGGAATCACATGTAGGCCAGACCAGGTAAGGACAGCAGGTTCCTTCCCTAAAGTCCATTAGTGAACCAGATGGGTTTTTCCCTGACGATTGACAATGGATTCACGGTCACTGTTAGATTCTTAATTCCAGATATTTATTGAATTCAAATCCCACCATCTGCCATGGCGGGATTCAAACCTGGGTCCCCAGAATCTTATCTGGATCTCTGGATTAACAGTCCAGTGATAGGACCACCAGGCCATCGCCTCCTCATAAAGAACCAATGATGGTGGTCTGTTCAGTCATGACAAGGGAGTCCACATTTCCTGACATACATTTCCAGCAGGGGTCAGTGGATAACGATTTCAGGGAAGAACTCTTCCTTGGACTAGGGGGGCAGAGACGAGGAAGTGCAGCTTCCCAGCCGCTGCCATGGCTAGGGAATGATAAGCAAGGACAACACCCTTGCTCTCCTTTAAACACTGCTGCAATTTTAAAGAAAGATTCACATTTTACAGCGTCTTTCCTGACTTCAAGATGTCTCAATATGCAAATGCATTTTGCGAAATGTTTTTGAAGTGTATTCACTACCGTAACACAAGAATTGCAGCAACTACATTACACATAGCAAGCTCCCAAAACCAGCATTATTAAAGTCATTCTTCAACTAAGTGAGGATATTCTGTTTTAGTGGAGTTAGGCGAGGATAAATATAGGCCAAGACACCAAGACAATTCCTATACTCTTCTTCAAAATAAAGCAAAGGCAACTTTTACTAATATCTAAGAGAAGAGAGGAGGTTGAAGTTTACTTCATCCAACAATGCAGCACTCCCTCTGTACTACAATTGAGGGTTAGTCAAAATTATGAACTCCGGTCTCTGGAGTCTTTAAGACTGTTTTCTGTACAACAACTGATTTAAACTATTGTGCTCTGCTGAATCTGCAACATTTACTCAAGGATGTCTTGGTCTTCTGTTAAAATTGTGAATTCCAATCACATATTTGTACCTCCTGACTGTTTTGTGTTTTTGTTTAAAGAAAGGAAGAATGCCATTAATCTCTTATCTAAAATACATACTAGCATTTTACAGGTTACAAGAATATTAAAGGATTTTGAGGATACACTAGGAAGTAGGAACAGTGGCCTTTTATGCTTGGACAGTGTTCAAACTTAGCCTTAAGTGTGTGCATGGAAATCATGTCTCACTAACTTGAATTTTTTGAAGATGTAATGAAGAGGATTGATATGGGCAGACCAGTAGGCGTGGATCTATATGGACTTCAGTAAGGCATTTGACAAGGTTTCTCATGGTAGATTGGTTAGCAATGTTAGATCACATGGAATAAGGGGAGAACTAGCCATTTGGATACAGAACTAGCTCGAAGGTGGTGGAGGGCTGCTTTTCAGACTGGAGGCCTGTGATCAGTGATGTGCCACAAGAATTGGTACTGGGTCCACTGCTTTTTATCATTTATATAAATGATTTGGACGTGAACATAGGAGGTATGTTAGTAAGTTTGCAGATGACACCAAAATTGGAGGTTGTAGTGCACTGCGAAGAAGGTTTCCTCAGAGTACAACGGGACCTTGTTCAGATGGACCAATGGGCTTATGGGTGGCAGAGTTTAATTTAGATAAATATGAGGAGCTGCATTTTGCAAAGGCGAATCAGAGCAGGACTCATACACTTAATGCTAAGGTCCTGGGGAGTGTTGCTGAACAAAGAGAACTTTAGTGCAGGTTCACTTTTCCTTAAAAGTGGAGTCTCAGGTAGGCAGGATGTGAAGAAGGTGTTTAGTATGCTTGCCTTTATGGTTCAGTGCATTATGTGTAAGAGTTGGGAGGTCACGTTGCGGCTGTACAGAATTTTGGTCAGGCCACTTTTAGAATACTGCTTGCAAATCTGGTCTCCCTGCTCACAGAGGATGTTGTGAAACTTGAAAGAGTTCAGAGAAGATTTACAAGGATGTTGCCAGGGTTGGAGGGTTGGAGCTATAGGGAGAAGCTGAATAAGCTGGGGCTGTTTTCCTTGGAGCATCGGAGGCTGAGCGGTGACTTTATAGAGTTTTATAAAATTACGAGGGACATGCATAGGGTGAATTGCCAAGGTCTTTTCCCCAGGGTAAGGGAGTCCAAAACTAGAGGGCATAGGTTTAAAGTGAGAGGGGAAAGATTTAAAAGGGACCTAAGGGGCAACTTTATCACACAGAGGGTGGTGCGTGTACGGAATGAGCTGCCAGAGGAAGTGGTGGAGGCTGGTACAATTACAACATTAAAAAGGCATCTGGATGGGTATATGAATAGGCAGGGTTTAGAGAGGTATGAGCCAAATGCTGGCAAATGGGAGTAGATTTATTTAGGATATCTGGTCAGCATGGATGAGTTGGACTGAAGGGTATGTTTCCATGCTGTACAGCTCTATGACTCTATGAAAAGATGAAAATCTTCTTCTCATCACCATATCATACAATATATAAGAGGCCCCTCAGGTCCACATCAACAACAATTACTCTAAATCTACACCAGTCCCACTTTCTGTAAGTTGGGCCAAAAATTCCCATCAGTTGTTGGACATACCCTGGATTTAAAAACCCTCTCAATGGAGAAATTATGGGAATTATAGCATATTGGATTAAAGTCACTGGGACTCCAGGAACCAGAGGCAATAACTGAGCCAGGAAAAGGCTGGCTGGAATAGACTGAGGAATATACAAGCCCAGGGACAGATGTCTGGGACAGGGGCTAGCTAAGCAAAACCAAAAGGAAAACCTCCCAGAGATAGTAGGAACTGCATATGCTGGATAATCTGAGATAACAAGGTGTAGAGCTGGATGAACACAGCAGGTCAAGCAGCATCAGAGGAGCAGGAAAGCTGACGTTTTGGGCCTAGACCCTTCTTCAGATTTCTGAAGAAGAGTCTAGGCCCAAAATGTCAGCTTTCCTG